TGAAAATTGGCAATTAAAAACAAAGAATTAAGTATTTATCCTGTCGTATTCATTTCCTATTGCTTTGCAAACTCAATGATTTACAAACAAAACCATTTGTGATCAGAGTTCTGTAGGTCCATAGTCTGGGTGGGTCGGTAGTCTGGGTGGGTCCTGGGTGGGTTTTTCCAGGGTCTCACAGGCCTGCCCTACAGGATCTGTAGAGGGACCTTCCAAATTCACTCAAATTGTTAGTAGAATCCAGCCCTACAGTTGTAGGACTGAGGCCCCTGCCTTCTTGCAACCCGCCACGGAGGGGCCAACTCTCAGCTCCTAAAGGACACCCACATTCCTTCCCAGATGCTCCTCTCCACCTGCAAAGGCAGCAACTGTGTGTCCCATCTTTCTTGTGCTTCAGTCTCTCTGGTTCCCTCTTCTACAGGCCTGAGGAAATTCTCTACTACTAAAGGGCCGGTATGAGTAGACTGAGCCCACCCAGTGCATAACCTCAATTACATCTGCAAATCTCTTTCAAGCAGCTTACTCACTGGAGTAACACTAGGAAGCAGAGGTCATGGGGGGCATCCTAGAATCCTGCCAACCACATCAGCCTTTCCTGCATGAACTATATTTAAAGGCAATTAAGTAGCTCTAGTTAATAAGTAAAAGTAATAAATATGAAAGGAACAGCATAGACAACTCACCATTTTACAAACCCCTAATAAAGTAATTGACTTAGACAAAGATCACCAATGAAAGTGAAAAGAGCAGCAACTGACAGGTAATTGAGGTACTGATGGGTTGACCACATCTCAGCCCACTTTAGAAAAGTGACTGCATAGACACCTACATGTCATGTGCCTTCTGCTACAAAGTACACAGCACCACCCACAAAGGACTCGCTAAAAAAGTGGAAACCCACACTTAACCAAGCTGCTAGAGCTAACTTCCAGTGGACAGGAAATGTAAGAAATAGAAGTGCAATTTAAATGACACCAAGAAGCAGCAGCCAGAAAAATTCATAATGTGGAACATTCTACAATTTAACTGACCCAGTTTTTTTCAATGTCAATTTACCTGTATGTGTATGGCGGAGGAGGGGAATGCACAGGGGAGCATTCTAGATTAAAAAAGACACCATGACCAATTACAAGAACAATACCTGGATCTTCATATAACAAGCCAAAAAACAAAAAAGCATTTTTAGTTAATCAGGAAAATCTGAATATATACTCGATATTAAAGTATACCAAGAATCATCACAAAATTTAATTGCTTGGGATAAAGGCATTGTGGTTGTATAAGCAGACATTCCTATGGTTTTTTGAGATGCAAACAGGGCTGAAACGCTATGAGGGGTGTGTTACTTGCAACCACATAAAGAAGAGATGAACAAAGCACAATACTGAAAAATATTGAATCTAGGAAATGGGTACTGGGGTTCATTTTTCCAATCTATTTTTAGATGAGACTGGCTAAAAAACTTGTACAACAATTTCACTGAAGAGCGCTCATTCACGGACATCTGCCGAAAACCAACCACTGTGTTAAGTGCTTTAGGTACATCTCCTGCTGGACCCTTACAGCAGCCTTAGGAAGTAGGTATTGTTATCATCCCTGCTTTTACAGACAAGAAAATGAGGGACATAACCAATTCAGGGTGTAGCCAATACGCCTGCCAATCACCCATTGTCTCAGCAAAACCTCAGAGGTCAAGGAAATAAAAGATTTCTACGTTTTTATTTCACAAGGCATTTTTACACATCAGCTACAGCACACACTGGACATGAGGGAGGCTGGTAAGGGGTGAGGAGAAAAGAAGCTGATAGACAGGGGGAGAGGGAGTGAAAGAGAAACACAGAAACCGACCAGGCAGTAACTCACAGAGACATGGCGGGAAGGAGCTGACCGGAAGGCCGGGAAAGACAGAGGGGCAGACAGACCTGGAGAGACAGACAGATTTACTCCCACCAAGGTCCACCCCCCACTTTTCCCTAATCCTTAATACCAGCCAGAAAATGAGAGGCCACCCAGCAAAAGGAGGAACCAGACAGACAAGAGCTAGACACATGAAATATATAACTATGTCCAACATAATTACAGATCTGTGTCTGGCGGGTCTACCTTGTGCTCTCTCCCTGCCCCCGCAGGAGAGGCCCTTCTTTCCTGCGATCTTCCAAGTTTAAACCCAAGTTTCTCAAGACCAACTCCAAGCTCACAAATCAGAAGGAAGGAAAGAAGGAACTATCTATTTAAGCAATTTTTAATTTTCTAACAGCTTCACCAAGATAAAATTCATAAGCCATCAGCGCCAAGGGAAGCCACTCTTAGGGAAGAATCTGTGTGGATGACAATAAGTTACATTAAAGCCATTATCACTTAGATCATTATTCACTCTGATCAAAGGCTCCTGGAACCAGAGTCTGGTCAGGTTTGAATTAAAACAATGGAAAAGTCATGTTTGGGAGCTAGTGGTGGGTGGAGGGTTGATGCAAGGAGTGGGGAGGGTGGCAGACAGGAACGGGTTGTAGAAGTGAGAGTGGGGAGCAGAAAACAGAAAAGGCATCCTCAATCAGAAACTGGAATAACAGCTCCAGGGGCAGAAGGTTTGCAACAACCTACCAGTATGTCTTAATTATGTTAGAATGTTCTTTCTTCTCACGGAATCATCAATCACAAGGGCCAAAAAAGCAGATACAACCCAAATATCTGTCAACGAATAAATGGTCAAACAAAGTGGGGCACACCCACACAATGAAAGGGGACAGGAACACAGGGAAGAGCGAAGTTCTGCTACACACCACCACGCAGGTGAGCCTGGAGGGTGTGAGCAGTGGGCCCTCGAGAGGCTACAAGAGAGGGGTGTGACTCCCTTTGTGTGGAGTCCCCACAGCCACAGCCAGAGAGGCAGAAATCAGATCAGCAGTGATCACCTCTAATGAGGCCTAAAAGGAGAGGGCAGAATGGGCAATGACTGCTAATGGAGAAGCAGTTCCTTTAGGGGGGAAGGTGATGAAAATATTCTAGAATGAGATGGTGATGACAGCTGCACAGGTCTGTGGCTGCACTGAAATCACTGAGCTACATAGCCATTATATGGACAAAGGATGTGCTATGTAAACTGTATCGCGACATATTTTAATATACTTTCATTGAAAATATGTTACTTTGAACATTTAGATTTTTAATTATTTATTATTTTAAAAAATCAAAAAATTCTTAACTAATAAATAATTGCCTTTTTCCCTTACATCAAAGATAGACTTTCTCTTGTTAACATGCTAGATGTTTTCTGGTTTTCAGTAAAACACCAGAAGCAAAGGAGACCATTTGGATGGATAGTTAACCAAACACAATGAGGAAGACAATGAGAAGCACCAATAAAAAAGGAAATGAACACCAAATGCCTTCAACTGATCTGTTCCCAAGCGAATCCTGGTGATCAGAACAGTCTCTGCGTGGTTCAGGGCCACTGTCCTCCAAACATTCAGGCCACAATTCATCTCCAGATCACATTACCCACCTCTGACCAGTGTAACTCCATGTATTATCACAGCAGCTACTAAAGTGTTGTGATAGGCTGGCTGATTTTTGTAGACAGGTAAAACGCACTTTACAAAAATCCATAGACTACCTGTACCAGCTTCTACTTAACTTGAACAAAAGGAGCATTATAACTCTCCAAAAACAAATCTATCCAGTTCTTACTGGGTGACCTCCTGGAATACATTCTATGTTCATTGTCTCCTTTCCAATCGTCTTTAAAGAATTATTATAATAGAATAGAGAAGGGGAACTTGGAATCAGAACAAGTCACTTCACCCCCAGGTCTGCATCTCCTTGCCTGTAAAATAAAGGGCCCCCCCTCGCAGAGATTTGGAGGTCCAACTCATGGAAACAGGACTAAATACAGAAGTAGAGTTCTAAGGAACTTTTAGTAAAATCTTCACTTCTTGGAATTTTAATAAACAATTTAAATTTCCCCTAGCATAAGATAACTCTAAAAATCAGACACAGTTCCTCAGGAAATTTTATCTGAACAAACATGGGAGACAAGCAAGGTACAAAGAAAGTAGAAAAGCATTCTGTCTGCTTATATTCAGCTATGCTGATTTCATATAGAAACCCAGAATCACCTGTTTAGCTACTAATAATGCTAGCCGGCAGGCCAGATGATGAAGCCTGTACAACAATGGGAATTGATTTGGGAGAACGGAAAAAAAACGTGTGGACTGTAAATTATCTAACCCGGATGATGGTCACCTCTAAACAGCCAGCCTTTCAGTAGGCAGGGAGAACACGATTATCTCTTCTTCATAGGGCTTGAAACTCCACACCAAAACTGCAGTTCAGTCCTAATTTCAATGGGCACTAACGTCTGATAACCACACACCTGCTGCGCCCGGGCCAAAACCAGCATGGCCAGAGTTGGGCATCAGCCAGTGAGAAATGCTTCTTACCTCTGTGCCCACAATAGGAGAGTCCTTGTGACCCAGTAAGTGAAGACTCTGAATGGGGTCACAGGAACAAGAGTAATCAGGTGTGGGACTGACAATGATGAACAGTCTATGAAACCCCGTAACCCACGAAAACTAATGAGAACACTCTGTGGAAGCACCTGGGCAACCATAAGAATGGGACTGTTTGCCGAAGACACAGCCCAACTCACTGCAATCACAAGGGCACATGGCAGTGAGAGGTGCTGAGGACCCAGGAGGGGCGCAAGGCCTGAGAGAGGGCCCAGACAGAGCAGGAACCTGCTTGCAGGTTCCCAATCCTTGGGTTGTAGCAACCCCCTAGACTGCCTGAAAACCTACAGTCAAATTAGTCTATTTCCTAATAGCTTATTCGTAAGGTATATCATCAGGAACATACAGTCACTACCTTAGTAAGTACACGAAACTTCCTTCATCCCCAGCTCTACCTATAAAGCATGTACACTATTAGAGGAGCATTTATTAGAATGTCACCCAGTATCACCATTAAAATCACAGTGTGCCAAATGAACAATCAGAACTTACCAATTTTCTGACTGAAAATCTTGTCAAAGGTTATTTCATTTCTCTCCTCGAGATATTTCTGCATCACACTCCGGATACTAAAAGAGAAGAGGAACATGTTTTTAATCAATCTGGAATGCACGATGAGTAACCATCCTGAGAATACCAAATATAGGATGCCTTCACTCAAGGCAGGGGGAGGAGAGACCCCTCTTTCTCATATCCACACCCATAAGAAATGACCAAGCAGACTTAGAGCTGGGGGCATCACTGCTCCAGCTATTACCTTCTCAGTGAGTGAGGGTGACTTACTTAGAGACTAAACACCAGAAATAACTGAAGGACTCTGAGAAAGCTCACTCTCAACACGCTTTCCAAAATATGCAGAAGCATGTATGCACCAGTAGACACAGGATGATTCCTGCTAATCAATTAAATGGGTTGCTTTCTAAAAAAAGTAAAAGCTCATGGGTATAATTAATATTTAAAAAATCAACCGTGGGCGTCCCTGGTGGCTCAGGGATAGTGCTTAAAGTCTCAGCACTATCAAGCTATCGCCAGCCACTGCCACATGAGTTTGCTTCCTGCCCAGGGAGCTAACCCACATGGTGCAGCAGACCTCTCTTGTCTCGCCCACTGCTTCCCTCAGCAGTGTATTTCAGTACATCTGCCTGTTGTTCCCCACTCTCTCTCTGGTGAATCTTCCTCTCACCCTCCCCCCCAACACACCTCTGGCCTACACCCCGGTTCTTCCATGTATAAATAAAAATAAATCTAAAAAAAATAAAAAAATAGAAAATCTACAGTAGGGTTAACTATGAAACTAAAGCAAGGTAAACAAAGTGGTCAATGAAATGGAACAGAGTACATATAAGCTGACCCACACACAAACAAGGAAGTTTAATATACAACAGAAGGAACAAGGCAGAAAAATGGGGACAGGAGGGTCCCCATTCAGCAAGTGCATTCCAAAGTGATCAACCAAGTGGAAAAGGCAAAAACTTTAATACCCATTGATGGGCAATTTGGCTTTATCCTTTAAAAAAAAAAAAAACAATAATTGAGGCATTTTATATATAGAGAGAAGTGCATTATATTAACTGCATGTTTTAACATATATTAAGTGAATTTATTTTAAGATTGGTACTTTCATATATAACTACTATCCTAGTCAAAATGTAGAATTTCTGTCACCCCCAAAAGGTACCCCTCTGCAATCAGTCTCCCCATATTCTAGGATTCTGGCAACCACTTATCTCCTTTCTGTTAATGCAGCTTATTGCAGTAGTTCTAGAATTTTATACAAATAAACTCATGCAACATGCTGTCTTTTGTGTCTGGCTTCTTTCACTCAGCATAAGCAAGCTTCATTCATATTGTTGTGTGCATAAGTATTTAGTTACTTTTTATTGCCAAGTAGTATGTCATTGTATGAATATTCCACCATTTGTTTACCGACTCATCTGCTGATAGACATTTGGTTTGTTTTTAGTCTGGGGCTATTATGAATAAATCTGTTTTCAATATTTGTGTATAAGTCTTTTTATGGACATGTGTTTTAATTTTTCTTGGGTAAATATCTTGAAGTGAAATTGTTGGTCATATGGTAAATTATATTTAACATTACGAAAACTTCTAAACTATATTCAAACTGGTTGTACAATTTCACATTCCCAGCAACAGTTTATGATGGTTCCAGTTACTCTACATTCCTTGCCAACACTTGGATTGTCAGTCTTTTAAGTTTTAGCCACTCTGTTAGGTGTGTAGTGACATAGTATTTCAATTTTCATTTCACTAATGAATAATGATGTTGAGCATATTTGGACATGATAATTGGAATACATATATCTTCTTTTGTGAGGTACATAATGTTTTAGTTGAGTTGTTTCAGTTGTAAAATGTCAAGTCCTTTGGTCGGCTTTATGTGAAAATATTTTCTCCCAGTCTATGTACCTGGCCTCTTCATTTTCTTCATTGTAGTTCTTCTAAGAGTAGAAGCTTTTACTTGATGAGTCCCAAGTTATTATTCCTTCAGTGAACAGTCTGCAATGAAATCTTTCCTATCCCAAGGTCATAAAGATATTAACCCATATTTTTCTTTACAAATTTCAAAGTTTCAGCTTTCATATTTAGTTCTAAGATCCACTTCAGGTAAATTTCTGTTTGTGATACAAGAATCAAAGTTCTTCATTTTTCCCCTTAATAAAAAATTATCCCATTATTATTTATTGGGGGGGGGAACTATATCCTTTCTTCACTGAATTATCTGGAATCTTTGTTGATTCAACCCTAAACAAGCATAAATCCTTCTCTGGACTATCCTATCCTAATGATCCATTTGTCTATCCTTACATAAATATGTGCTCTATTGATAGCTACAGGTTCATAGTGGGTCTTAAAATCAGATAACCTACATCTTCCAAATTTGTTTTGTTTTTTGTTTTTTTTGGCTATCCTAGGTCCTTTGATTTACTTTTTTTTTTAAGTCAACATGGAAATTTCATGACAGAAAAAAAACCCATTGGGGTTTTGATAGGAATTGTGTTGAATCTATAATTTGGGGGAAATAGTAAGTATATAATCCATAAATATGACATAAATCTCCATTTATCTAGATCTTCTTTAATTTCTCTTATTAATACATTTCAATTTTCAAATAGAAGTCTTGTCCTTTCTTTGTAATAGCTTTCTCTGGTTTTGAAAATCAAGATGTGATTTATAAAATGAAATGACAATTACTTCTTTCTCCTTAATTTTCTGAACGATTTGGTGTAAGATAGTAATAATTCTTTGTGGGTCTGCTACTCCTAAGTGGCCTGTTCGACCACCATTTTGTCACCTATAGTTCTAAATCCTAAGCAAGGTCAAAATGGCTTGGCCAGTTAGGTACAAAAGCCCAAGCCTGCAAGGTGCCCTTCAAATCAAACAAGAGCACAGAGCTGGATCACAATGGGAAGGCTATGTATCACTAGGTATGACCAGAAATGCCCAGGAGCTGAGGACCAATGCATAACAAGGGACCCCAGAAGCTGATCAGTGGAACGCCTTGTTGATAAGATTAAAACCATGGCTGGGGGATTAGGGCGTGATCTCAATGACAATACCAATTCATCAAGCAAATGAGAAGTGCCTGAAGGGCAGACTCATAATCCCTAATCTTCTACATTCTTCCCCTTTCTTTAATCTCCTTCCCCTTTCCTTTTGCTCCTCCCCCTTACAACCAATGCTGTGTATCAATAAAAAGGCCAGGATCTTGCTCTTGAGCAGCATCCTGCATTACGTAGCCTGCTCCACAACTCCCGTTTCGTTATCAGTGTGCTGTTGCCCGATGCAACAATTCTTTCTTAAATGTCAGAGAGAACTCAAGAGTCAAGTCATCTAAGCCTAGAATTTTCTTTGTAGAAAGTTTTAAATTACAGGCCCTCCCTGGGCACAGGCGGTTGAGCGCAGCACTGTGAAGCTGTCCACAGCCTCTGCAGTGCCGGTTCAATCCCAGCCAGCTGGCGAGGGTCCCACATGGCACAGCAGACCTCTCCTGTCACACCCGCTGCTCCCCTCAGCAGTGTATTTCATCAGTCTACCTGTTCTATTCCCCGCTCTGTCTCTGATGAATCCTCTCACCCTCCCACGCATCTGGCCTGTACCCCAGTTCTTGTATAAATAAATAAATCTTTAAAAAAAAAAAGTTTTAAATTACAAATTCCATTTCTTCCACAGATATAGATAGAGCCACTCATGTTTTCTATTTCTTCTTGTATAAGATTTCATATTTTGTGTCTTTTAAGGTATTTGTGCATTTCATCAAGTCATCTAATTACTAATATAATACTGATTTTATTTCCCTATTGTAATGTCTGAAGATTTAGTCATAGAATTGCTATCTTAATAAGCTCCCCTGATGTGTTCTTTGTTCCTTTTCTTTCTCTTGGACTGTGTTTTTTAATTACATATTTATCTCTCTTATTAGCTTATTATTTTACTATTATTATTACATATTTTCTTTTTGCTCTTTTTAATTTTTAGTTGTTGCCCTAGATTTTACAACATGCAGCTTTTAGTCATCAGTCTACCTTCAAATAATACTTTACTGTCTTATACAAGTATAAGAACCTCACTGTGACATACTTATTTCCTTGCCCTTCCTCCCATCCTTTATGTAATACTGTCATTATTTCTTTAAATATTATAAACCTTAGTAATACATACTTTAGAGATGCAATAACTTCTAACATAAATAAAAATTTTAAAAAATCTTTTATATTTAACCTTTTTATTATTGCTGGTGTTTCTCATATCTCTGAGGACATCCAAATATCATCTAGTATCATACATCTTAAGCCCTCTGAACTTCCTTGAATATCTAAGGCAAATAAATCAACTAGCAATAAAATCAATCTTTGTTGAAAAAGGTCTTTATTTTGCCTTCATTTTTAAAAGATACTTTTATTGAGTGTAGAATCCTAAGTTGGCAAGGGTGTTTAGTTTTCTTTTCTCTCAGCACCTAACAATATAGATGCATTGTCATCTGGTTGCAGTTTCTGATATGGATTGTACCATAAATTTTATCTTTGTCCCTCTGTATACAACATTTCTTTTCTCTATGGCTGCTTTTAAGAATTTCTATTTATCTCCTTTTTTAGGAGTTTAACTCTGATGAATCTAGAAGTGGACTTTTCTATTCTAATTTACTCCTCCTTGAGGTTCTCTGAACTAGATACTTAAAATGATGCTTTCTTGTCTTTGTCATTGACTTCTGAAAATTCTCAGCCATCTTATTTTCAAACACTTATTTTGTTCTGTGTTTTCCTTCTCTTGTCCTTTGGGTACCCCACCTGCTCATATTTCAAACCATTTTATATTCTCCCATGGTTCTTGGACCTTAATTATAAAACCAAAAATAACAGTAATATATGTATATAAAATCATCTTTTTTTAAAGTAAGGGAATGGTTACTACACAATTCATAATGAACAGTGCAGTGGCTTATGGGGAGGGAAAGGAAGAGACTGTGAAGGGATGGAATGAGGAAGGAAGTCACAAGCAGAGGGAAATTATACTCAATACCCACATCCTCATGATGGTTCCAGAAGTGTTT